AAGGCCTCTACCTGTACACAAACACAGAAAACTCACACAAACATCCATGCCCTGAGTGGGATTCGAACCCACGATCCCGGCTTCCGAGCGAGCGAAGACAGTGCATGCCTTAGACCGCTGGGCTACCGTGATCGGCTTGTATGGACTTTAGAACACCCTTATTACTTCACATGTTATCGCATTTGGACAATGACCTTGTTTCATTTGCATGGCAAAACTTCCATTCCGTCAATCACACATTTTATGGCAGTAGTCTAATTATTCAGAGCATTATGTAAGCATAATGCATACGCATATTTTTTAAAGAAACAAAGGAACATGATGTCAGTATATAATACTGCCTGCAAACCGTGTTTCAATTGTGGTAATATATACTACAATATTCGAATTTACTTCTGAGAACTTGCTACAATTAAATGGTTCTTTTGACATAAAACCTATCTGGAAAAATTAAACTTTTCATTGGGTCTCCTTTACTCCTGCAACATGTTTGGGGTTTACTGTTCAAGATAGCTCAAGTCCCTAAGGATTACTTATACGTTCTTTCTCAATTATAAAATTTAAAATAATGAATTTTTAAAACATTCGTGTTTTTTTTCCTTCGTTCTACGACGTTCATGGAGTATGGGATTTCGAGAAAAAAAAAATCACTAAAAATTATTAACTGAAGATTATACTGGTATAATTATAGACACTTTATCAGCTGCATATGTTATATAGTGTTGAAAGAAAATTTGACAAGCTGAATCTATTTAATGCCGGTCACGGTAGTCGAACGGTTTAAGGCATGTCCTGTCTTCTCTCGCTGGGAAACCGGGATCGTGGGTTCGAATCCCACTCAAGGCATGGATGTTTAGTTTGTGCGCGCGCGTTTTTCTGTGTTTGTATAGAGGTGGAGGCCTTGCGACGAGCTGATCACCCGCCAAAGGAGTCCTACCGAATGTGTAAGATCTAGAAAAACCGAAGTGAACGGAGAAGTTCATGAAGGTAGGCCTAGGCCCACTGGGGCTGTAGTGCCAGGGGGGGATCTATTTAATGAAAATATTGTATGAGTGATCATGATTTTATAGTGAGACCTGAATATCTCCAAAGCTAATAAATGCTGAAGTCACAATTATTCCATCATAATAAGATAAATATTGCCATGTTATGACACTTTTCACTATACGAAATTTCTTTCAAACCTTTGCTAAGTAAACCCAGGGCATAAAGAGCAGTTATTTGTTTTATTCAGGCAGAATCTGTCATTTTTGTTGTACAGTCTGGTAACCATTTATGAAGAAACATTATAATAAAACAGATAAATATTTTTTAACGCCAATCAGCCCACTTTGCTAGGCCTACAGAAAAATATACACGTTACAAAAGAAAGTATAATGATTGATGTGAATCTGCAAGGCCATAACTTTGTCTTGATGTTACAGCAATGCTGCATGCTGCAGGCTATCATAGGGGTAGGTAGGGAAAGGCAGAACAGTGACTTGTAGACCGTAAACTACTCGATGCATCAGACAGACCAGTGGTGATTATTCTCAGGCGCATTCACGATACTAAGATTTGGGGGGGGGGACGAGGCTAATAAAATCGTTCCATCCTTCCGTCTGTCTCAATCTGTACGTATGATTCAACAAGAGAACAGCAAAAAGTTACAAATAAATTTAATATGAGTGAGTTTTATTAAAATTTGTCCAGACATCGAGATTTTGATTAAAATCGGACAAATACGGGTATAATAAACAGCTGCATGAAGATCTACATACGTTTCTAAGCGTATGGGAAGCGTAACTCCCTAAATGTTTAGCTAAGGTAAATTTTCCCGAATAAAATATACATTTTAAGTNATATATATATATATATATATATATAGTGAAAACCAAGAAATCGCAACTCCATATGAAGCGAAAAACAGAATCTCGGACCCAAGTAACGTAATTGTGGGTCGCGAAACATAAAACTTCACTCTAACTAGTTCTAAAAATAGTCATATACTAAATGAGGTCTAAAAGCTACTAACGATGACACATTAAGATAAAACCTACTCATTTGGGCTCGATCAATAGAGCTAATCCCTATCTCCGGACACGTGTACCAACCGCAGATAGGTTACGCAAGCCAAGAACAGCACAAACCACCTGCGAGAGCTAAGACATAACATTAAAACGGTGTTTCATGTAAAAACAGGAACATATCTAATGTCCAGAACCATAATAATACTCGTATTTGTATTAACACGGAGACAGAATCCAGTCTCCGAAACGTTGTTTGCTTTAAATAAAAACAGGACGAGAGATAAAGTCCAGAAACATAATATTTATATAGTTATATACTGCTTGGCCGCGCCATAGCTCAAGCGGTTAGTCGCTGACTTCCCACCACGGTGGCCCGGTTTCGACCCCGGGTCTGGTCAAGTGGGATTTGTGGTAGATAAAGAGGCGCTGGGGCAAGTTTTCTCCGAGTACTTAGGTTTCCCCTGCCAATCTTCATTCCACCAACTGCTCCACAATCATTCTCACCTATCATCTGGGGCTGGTACAATAGGCCAGAAGTGGCCGCAGTACAAGAGAGTTAGTACCACCCCACTAGCAATAAAAAAAATATATATACTGCTTAGCATTGGCTCTACCGTGGCGAAGTAAATTACTTGTATGCGCAGAATATTTCAGCGGCAGATGAATTTCATTATCTCAACAATTCATCCCAGTCAACAACCTCGGAATTTCCAGGTGACCTGGTTACGCTTCAATTTTAATACAAACAAGTCTACGGTATTATTATACTTTCGTTTAAAATTTTATGTAGTGTCAGCAGGGGTTCCGTATTCTGACCTTGTGAAAGACCTTAACAAGTATTCAACAGAATTTACTCCTATTGACCTCCATTGATGCGTCATAGCTTCAGTGATCAGAAGGATAAAACTCATAAACCTTAATTCCATACTTGTGTACATGTAGACTTCAAATCCAACATCGGGCCTGGCTTACAAAATATCCGCGTAGTGTGGTCAGACTGAGACCAGTTTCTATTTACAGACTGTAAGGACAGAAAAGTATAGAGTAGGATATATTACAGTACAATGCATGTAACCTTCAGTGATTGCCTTCATTCGTAACATCTATTATTATTATTATTATTATTATTATTATTATTATTATTATTACTTCCTTTGTTTTGGAAGAGACTGTGGACCTGTCGTCTGACAGATTACTGATGATGATGATGATGATGATTACTTCCTTACTTACTCATAAAGCTGAGCCCTTCTTGAGGTGCAGCCAATTCTGCAACTACTAAAGAACTTCACCGCATTTTATGGAATCCGAAGGTTCATTATCGTGTTCAGAAGCGCACTGGTCCCTATCCCGAGCCAGATCAATCCAGTCCATACCATCCCATACTATCTCTCTAACATTAATTTCAATATTGTCCATCCATCTGCGCCTTGGTCTTCCCAGTGGTCTCTTTCTTTCTGGCTTTCCCACCAATATCCTATGTGCATTCTTCTTCTCCCCCATTCGTGCTGCATACCCTGCCCACCTCATCCTTCTTGACTTGATCATTCTAATTATACTTGGAGAAGAGTACGAGTTATGGAGCTGTTATTATTATTAGTGCAAGCTGAGATTCACAGCGCCATTACAACGTAATATTTGTGGCTTGAGCTTGCACTGCCGTGACCCGCATCTCTTCTCAGACAGGGGTTTCATCACAGTCCTCAGATTCGTCATTCAGCCCGAACCTATTTCCAATGGGAATCTAGGAGTCTATCCCTAGACACGAGTAACAATGAAATCTGGGAAAGGTTCTTAATACAAAAATATTATAAATCGAACTGAGCTCCATTCTCAGAAACATTAGGAACATCGAATAAACAAAGTAGCCTACGTGTGTGAATGAATGTACAAGGGGTGGGCCTTTTTGGCCCTTGCACCGCGACCACAGATTAGCCTACGTGTACGTTGCACATAAAACGTGAAGGCTTAATATTACAAGAAGTTCTGGGAAGAACTAATAACCTACTTTCCTTTGATACGGCACGGACAGCATAGAAAACGACGCCTCCAGCAATTTCTCAGTGTTTACCGAGTCGTTATCTAGCAACGTATGGAGGGATACACAGACACACAGACAAGATGGAGGTCGCATTAGGCTACTTAAAAAAGTAGGCCAGAAACTGATCTTAAATAAATTGAGCGAATGAGTGAGGATTGGATTCATGTGGCTCAGGATAGAGTACAACGGCGGGTTCTTATGAATACAGTAATTAACCATTAGGGTGCATGAGATGCGGGGAAAATACCGAACAGGTGAGCAATTATTAGCTTCTTAAGGAGCTTTATGCGGTGTGGAATTAGTTCATTAATTAGATGGCTAATTAGAGGTGCTGAAAAGCGAGGTTAAATAAATTTACCCAGCGCTCCTTTCAACCGATGTGTTTACTAGAAACCAACTGATACATACGTGCTAACGTGTCGAAAGTCGAAAGTCGAAAGTAACATATCTTCCAGTGCGTTGTATGTCTCGATACGGACGCCAAAACCAAAATTAAAAGCACGGTAAACATGTTTTTAGGCGGAAGAAAACGCCGGATTTACAACTTAACTGAGAATAGTAACTGTTGTTATTGGTACGTCTTACTGAGAGACATGTATCCACATACATTGGGCCGGTCACAGTGGCATGAACTGTCTTCGCCCGCTCGAACACTGGGGTCTGGATTCGAATCCCACTCTAGGTATGGATGGATGTCTATTTATTCTGTGTTTGTGTTGTTCTGTGTAGGTAGTAGCCTTGCGCGAGCTGATCCCCCGTCCAAGGAGTCTTACCGAAACTGAAAAAAAAAGGGCTATGACCTAACAAAAGAATGTACAGCCATTGATGACTGACTGATTGGATCCATATGCAGTAATGGAGGTTCATTCGCAGCCAACGCCTTTTCATTTGTCATTAACTACTGTAGGAACATCTTGACGAATCCATAAATTTTCTTTCTTTTGTTTCAGAGACGGCCCAGGCACTTAGCGAAAGGAACATAATGGTGGCATCGTGCGAAGACCGCTCAACAGCAAACACCAACCACAATAACGCCACAACACAAAACAATGTAAATAAAGAGGGAACAAATAAGTCTGAGGAAAAGCAAGACGATGTTGCAGTGTACACCGTTTCTGTCGGTGGAGGATACGCAAACGAGGCGTTTAAAGATGACGGTGACGTAACAGGAGACGGGCGAGGAAATTCACTGACGAAACCGCCTCCGCTTCCATCTGGAGGAGGTGACGAAGAAGCGAACATAAACGCCGATGGGAAATTTCGATTGTCACGTCGAGAGAAGTGGCGCATACTCAAGAATATTGCAGCCGTTAGTTTCGCGTTCATGGTGCAGTTCACCGCATTTCAAGGCACGGCAAATTTACAGAGTTCCATCAACGCACAAGAAGGACTCGGCACAGTGTCTCTGTCCGCTATCTATGCGGCCCTCGTTGTGTCCTGCATATTTGTACCCACATTCCTCATCAAGAGACTCACTGTAAAATGGACCCTGTGTTTCTCTCTGCTCATGTATGCGCCTTACATTGGGGCACAGTTCTTCCCGAGGTTTTACACTCTGGTACCAGCAGGAGTTCTTCTGGGTCTCGGCGCGGCTCCCATGTGGGCTTCAAAGGCGACGTACCTCACCCAGGTCGGCGGTGTTTATGCAAAGTTAACGGACCAAGCAGTGGACGCCATTGTTGTCCGGTTCTTCGGCTTCTTCTTCTTTGCCTGGCAAACTGCTGAGCTGTGGGGAAATCTGATCTCTTCCCTCGGTAAGAGCCAAAACTTTCTTTCTACCAGTAATACACTAGTATGTTGGCCGACCACGGTGGCCGAGCGGTCTAAGGCATGAACCATCTTCGCTCGCTCGAGCGACGCGGATTGTGGGACCGAAACCCACTAAAAGGTATGGATGTTCTGTATGTACGTTTATTCTGTGTTTGTGTTGTTCTGTGTTTAGGTAGCGGCCTTGCGACGGGCTAATCACCCTTCCAGGGAGTCCTACCGTCTATGTAAAAAGGATTACGAAACTGAAGAAGAGGCCAGGGTCCAACTAAGGGCTGTAGAGCCACTGATGAATGAAAATAATATATATAGGAATTTTAATGCCTGGTAATATTATATTAGGGTGAAGGTAAAACAAGCTGATCACAGCTGCCGCGCAGTGTAAGGTATGAACTGTCTTCGTTCGCTCGAACGCCTGGGATCGTGGGTTCAAATCCCACTCTAAGGCATGGATGTTTGGTGTGTGTATGAGTTTATTCTGTGTGTGTTGTCCTGTTTGTAAGTAGTGTTTTTGCGACGGGCTGATCACTCGTCCAAGGAGTCCTACCGCCTGTGAAAGATACTAAATAAGAGGCCTGAGCCCTGAATGGGCTGGAAGAGCTACTGAAAAAAAAAAAATAGAAGGTAAAACAAAGAGAGGAAGAAAACAGACAATGAAGAAACATAGGGAGTTTCAAATTTTTGGAGTCTCCCTAGTGATAAAATGGCACGGACGCGAGGTTGACAACACCTGTCAGTCTAGTACCGAGGTTAAAAATAGTGGAGCTTTGCCTCTACTCATCATACGTCTTCGTATCGTGGTACTTATTTAATTAAGCCAAGCAATAACTTTACTTATATCGTAATTTGTACTCTTCGCCAAAAATTACTATGATAATTAAATCTAAACAAATAAAATGGGTGGGATATTCAGTAAACATTAGTGAGAAGTAAATGTATACAAAACTTTTGTCGGAAAACCTGAAGGGAAGATATCACATGGGAAACTAATATGTGTATGGGAGGATAATATTAAGAAGGATCTTAAGTAAAAAGTGAAAATATTGACTGAATTAATCTGTCTTGGGTTAGTGTGCATTATTATTAAATACAGTACTTAACTGGAACTTGCTTACAACGATACAGATAGTCTTTGTCATAAACTTGAGGTGTTGACATGTCTTGTGTAGATAATTGTGTGGCATTTTAACATGTCCCTCCACTTCACTCTTTCACATAGGCTATGAGTCACTGTTAAAACCGATTGTTCAAAAACATTAAGATTTTAACACAGATTCGTCCCTTTCTATGCCGATAAAACAGAGAGTAAAACAAGAAAGGAGGAGAAAGCATGTGAACTCTGACACTAGGCGGAGAAAAAGTCTTTCACTGCTCACAATTTTCTCAATTTCAAAACGTCCATAGGGCGAATTTCACTGAATGTTCGTTTTTCTCTTCCTGCCAAAAACACGTATCAGAGGATAACACAAAAGCGTCAAATGTCAAATTACAGATAACGGTATAATATTTCAAGTATTGGTATACTACTGCCGGTCACGGTAGCCGAGTGGTCTGAGGCGTGTACTGTCTTCGCTCGCTCGGAAGCGGGGATCTTGGGTTCGAATCCCACACACGGCATGGATGTTTGGTATGTGTATGTGTTTTTTTTCTGTGTTTGTGTTGTCCTCTGTTTAGGTAGTGGCCTTGCGACGAGCTGATCACTCGTCCAAGGAGTCCTACCGTCTGTAAAATGATCAAAATGAAAAACAACCTCGACACCGTAAGTTACTGTATAAGAGGAACGGATTAAGAAAGTAAGTATACTAGTATATCTATAATTGGGGTTCGAAGCCTGGGAGGGACAAGAATTGTTCTGTTCACCACAGCGACAAGACCAGCTCTGAGACACATCAATTCTCCGTACCGTAAGCTATGTACCCGGGGGTAAAGTGGTAGAAGCATGAACCTAGTTTTTCCAACAAAATCCTGTATCCCCCATGCGTGATACATTCCCGGCCCATCTCATCCTCCTTAACGTCATTATTCTGATTATGCTTGGCGAATAGCATAAGTTATGAAGCTCCTTGTTAGCTTACTATCTATCTTTGGCCCTACAGTCCTTTCGTTGGACCTTGGCCGCTTTTTCAGTATCTTAATTCTAAACACGGTCGGTAGGACTACTTGAACGGGGGATCAGCCGGTCGCAAGGCCGCTACCTACACACAGGACAATACAAACGCATATAACTTCACACAGACATCCATGTCTTAAGTGGGATTCGAACCCACGATCCCAGCGTTCTAGCGAGAGAAGACATTTCACGCCTTAGACCACTCGGCCACTGAGATCGGCAGAACTCCCAAATACCGGCTTAAGCTGGGCGCAGAACTTAACGTGAGTCCTCTTTCAGACTAGACAAAAGACAAGAGTACTAAAGATTATACCGGAACACGTATACATTATTTATGAATAGCTCTGATAATCAGAGGAAGCCGAAGTCACGGCCAGTGAACAAAATGGTTCGTATACACGCCTGAGCACAGGCCTACAGACCGTGTATCGATACTGTAAACTACATCCTGCAGCAGTCCAACAGATGCATTATACTCGTATTCTGTTATATTTTACATGTTGAGAATTATGGCCCAAATGTTACCATTATGTTGGCACAGAAAAAAACGTACAAATAAAAATCAGTTTTTGTCTCATACGCAAACTGCAGGAGAACTTCATATCCTTGCAATGTTTCCTGCCAGAGTGTGACATATTAATGACCAGGGAAAGCGTTCGTTCTTGGCCCAGTTTGTTTCATGGAATAATCTACACTTAAACGGTGAAATTGCTGATTACGGTAACGAAACATTCTTGTTGACTGAAGAAAAGTGGAAGGCGAGATATATTTCCTATGATTTACCGACGAGGAGCAGCATAGGAGCTTCATGTAATAAATTGTTGCGAAACAGCTAAGGATATAAAGGAGAGCAATAAATTTCTACTGGTCCTCGTCAGCATGATCAATCTTAAATTCGAACTCCGTCGGGACCCATGATCATACTTTCTGCTCTTTTAAGACTTTTGCGTTTTTTGAAATGGGGCCTCAAGTTCGACCAGATGAAGGGTCTGAGTGCTACTGGTCATTCCACCTCAACTGGAGAGTGACTCAGCTGCTTCTCACTGATTCACTCTGACTTGATTACTCATTCTTGGTTTTGGGCCCCATAGGGATCCATGGCAAAGATTTTTATTATTTCCCACACACCTCACTCATCACTCACTCATGGAGCTGAGCCCTTCTTGAGAAGCCGCCGACTGTGCAGCTCCTCAAGAACTTCCCAGCATTTTATGAAACCCGAAGGTTCATTATCGTGTTCACAAGAGCCCTCCACTGGTCCCTATCACGAGCGACATCAATCCGATCCATCCCATCCTATATCCCTATGATCCATTTTAATATTGTCACCCACCTACGCCTTGGTCTTCCCAGTGGTCTCTTTCTATCAGATTTTTACACCAACATCCTATATGCATTCCTCCTCTCTTCCATTCGTGCTACATGCTCTATTTCATCTTTCTTGATCTGACCATATTTCCCACACATCTGCGTGTTTTAAATTTGGGGCCCCTTCTTTGATGAGAGAAGAGGTTGGACTCCCCTGAGCAGAGCTGTAATTTACTGCCGGCCTTTACCAGTACCTACTCATTCTATGAATTATACGAGCATATACCAGCTTTATTCTCACAGCAACCAGCCCAGACGCGGAGAAATGAGAACGATGCACTTAAGAAGTATTCTACTTACAATACGAAATTTAAAATAAAACCTAATATACTCGGAAAATATAATCTGACTAGAGCTTTAACAATTTAAGTAATTATTTTTTTTTTAAATTTCGCATAGTGGGGGGCAGATCAGAGGCAAGTGCTGAAAATTTGGGAAAATTATATTTCAGAACTATATGATCGACCTAATCGGCCAGAAACCTTAGAAGTTGAACCGGAAGAAGAAGTAGATACAGACGAGAAAGGACCATATATTTTACAAAGTGAGGTGGAAAAAGCTATCAAGGAAATGAGGAAGGGAAAGGCTACAGGAGATGATGATGTACCTGGAGATGTGCTCAAGTTACTGGGAGAAGGTGGTTTGAAAACACTGACAAAACTAATGAACACCATATATGAAAGTGGAGAGTGGCCCAAGGACTTTACAGAAGTTACAATGATTGCCTTAAAGAAAAAGATAAAAGCTACAAAATGCAGCGACCATCGCACAATAAGTCTTATTGCACATACAGCAAAGATAATAGCAAAGATACTTAAAAGAAGAATTGAAAGGAAAATAGAGGATGTACTTGGAGAAGATCAGTTTGGATTTAGAAGAGGAAAAGGAACCAGGGATGCAATTGGGATGATGAGAATTATAGCGGAACGAACTTTGGAGATAGATGAAGAACTGTGTGTTTGCTTCATAGACTGGCAGAAGGCATTTGACCGGGTAAACTGGACCAAATTAATGCAGATCCTGAAAGAAACAGGTATCGATTGGCATGAAAGAAGATTGATTAGCAAATTGTACATGGATCAGAAAGTTAGAGTACGACTGGACAGGGGGGAGACAGGAAGTGTGCAGATTGGAAGAGGAGTTCGACAAGGATGCTGTTTATCACCAATTCTGTTCAACTTGTACAGCGAATGCCTTACCAAGGAAGCTCTGGATGGGCTCGGTGACTTCAAAGTAGGAGGGCAAATTATTCAAACTGTGAAATATGCAGATGACCTTGTGTTAATGGCTAAGGAAGAAACTGTGCTACAGGGCATGATTGATAGACTAATTGAAATTGGAAGGTGCTATGGCATGGAAATGAATGTGGAGAAAACAAAAGTAATGAAAATTTCGAGACAACCAACCCCAGTCACAATAAAGATAGACCAAAAACAAGTGGAGAATGTGAAATGTTTTAAATATTTGGGTAGCTTGTTAACAGATGATGGAAGGTGTACTTGTGAAATT